AAGAAAAGAAAAGAAAAGAAAAGAAAAGAAAAGAAAAGAAAAGAAAAGAAAAGAAAAGAAAAGAAAATTATGTCTGGGCTTTTAAAACAATGTTAAAAGGTCATTATAATAATTTCTAAATTCTGTTTGGTTCTATGTAGTTAATAACAGAATAACAAAATCATATTTCTATCACAAATTTTATTATTTTTTTAAGCAGTGATGCTATGAGAAGTCAATTCAAACTGTAGTTTTACACTGTAAGATGAAATGTATATTATCAATAGCTGAAGTCACGTTTAGACAGCAAGATACAAGATTTTCACTAATTTAAGTGCAATGTATTGTGAAAAATATGTATTTATTGTATGAATGAAAATAGAGAACGTTTCTCTGTTGCATAACAAGTGTTTATCATATATGTCTCAATGGAAAAGAAAGTAAACTACATATTTATTGATTGTATTTATTGATGAATCCTTACACGTACGTTTTTGCATTTCCTCACAGGCAGTATAAAAGCCCAAGTATAATGTTAATCCTAAACTAAGCACCATTGTTATTCCAATCATGGGTATCCTAGCTTATCAATTCTTCCCATTTCAATTAGGACTTTTTTTTTTGTTGTTCCACTGCTGTGTATATGAACATCTCACCTTTGAATTCACTGTTCATCATAATCCGGCAGACCTAATAGAATACCTGTTAAAGAATACATCAAGAGGATAATACTTATTATCTTTTTAATATATTGTTACATTTATTATACTATAATACTATTTTGTTGTCTACATTAAAATAAATCTACAGATATTTTATACCAGTCTGGTCTGAATTTGCTATAAGAGCACTAAAAGTGTTCATAAAGTATTTACATAGGATCTCAGTTAAAAAAACAAGCAAAAGAAACCTCTTATATTACCACTGTATTTTATGCCCACATCTAGAGTTGAGTTTAATTTTGTATTTTGAGTTCCCTAGCTTTCACCCGGTGTATTTTGACTTTAGAAAAGGCTAAATTAATCGAAATGTTTGCACAAAGTATTATACTATATGCAGACTCTCAGTTGAAGTAAAATGATGATTTAGTCATAACTTTAACTGTCTTTCCTTCAATATAATGTCATTGTTTTGTGATTTTTGGTTTTCGGTATTCCACATCATAACATCATGTGGGGCACTGGGACTTTAACTGTTAATGCTCAAGTCATGGGTACCTGCCCTGAAGAGAAGAAAAACTACATTCCCCAGGGGACTTTGCGGTCAGGGAGAGGAGGTTTAACTCCTGGCAAGGTCGCCTGATTGCTCTTTCTCGCCTGCCCTTCGTGGTGGGCGCTGCTCCCGTCTCCCTGCTGCTCAACTGGACTGCGCATCTCACCTCAGCGTTGTGGTGAGGCCTATCCACCTTTCAGACATTCTCTCTCTCATTATATTTGATTTATTAGTTTCAATTCTAATTATATTCTATTATAGTGTGTTATCTTGCATTCCGATAATATACTTAGTAAATTAGTTTGTTTCTCCTCAGATCGTTGCCACTGTTCTTAATTATTTTGGGGTCCCCTGTTTCCTTTTTTTCTGGAGGCGCAGATCTGCGGATCCCTCCACCCCGCTCATCACGGAACCGGGCTGGACCAGCCCGTAAAATGGTGAAAACTTTGATTCCTCAGATATCAGATTTTCCTTCCCACTAATTCATACTGCTGTTTGTTTTTTTTTAATTATTATTTTCTCCAAGATTTTTTAAAAGTGATATCCAAATTCAATATATTAGAGCACCTCAAGTCGTGTTAGACTGGAAATTATTCACATATCTGCATATGATTACATAAAATACACGAAAAACTATATACAATTTCTTTTTTCTTTTTTTATTCTTACCAACGATCTGATGTTTCCAGCTGATGTGAGGATGACATTTACAGGATGTTATGTTGAAAACCTGTAATGGTTCAGTACACAATAGATAATCTTACATGTCAATAAGAAAAGAAAATACAGCAAAAGTAGACAAAGGAAATTTTGGTTAAATTATCTTTACATTTCTTCTGCAGATCACTTAAGGCCTTTTAATCTTGCATTTATTTTATTACTTGCTTTTTTGATGTGTGTGTACATCAAAAGAAGATCCTAAGTATGGTAGATGAAATTCACTGTAAGAGATACAGTAGCTTCTTTTCCAACACTGAGAGTAATTAAACATTAATTCCTTATATTAGTATAAACTTTCAAGGAGAACTAACATTCTGAAGTACTCAATTATCTGATCCTGAGAAAAATAAAAGAATTAAGATCAGTAAAGAACTTCAGAGTTTGAGGCCAAAGGTTGGAAGAACATTTGGACAATGCATTTTAAAATATTACTGACTTTATTAACTTCAAAATAAAGATAAAACTCTACAAGGGCACTTTGTATTTTTTCCTTAGCTAACCTGAAATCTATTCCTGCAGTTATGATATCAAGTTGCATGTTTGGAAACATGACATATATCACACTGAGAACAAGAAAAGTGAAGTGTTTTCCTTTTTTCCTTCCATAGTTTTCCTGTCAATTAATTCTTTACTTCCTCAAGACCCAGAATATGCTCCTTGCTTACTATTATTCTTTGAAGTTTACAATGAGTGATCTATTGCAATTAAACTTTGAACTTTGAATATCACCAGGTTTTTCTATTTTTGGCAGTAGCAGAGCTGTGAGGACTCTTTAAAATTAATTCCTATGGTTGTCATTGGTCAGAGATATCCAAAACTATATGATCTGAATGATCATCTATGTTCTCCTCTATATAACATTTGTTTCCTCAGTGGCTTAAAATCCTTCTAAAATCCTTAGAAGAGGTATAAGACAGATAGTCAAGCTTCTTTTCAACATTAGGTAGAACAAGAAAAACTGAAATCTCACATCTCATGGAGTCTTCTTAACACTGATAGTTGATGAAGCATTTATTTCTTTACTCATTAACTTTAGCTTTGAAATTCTCTTGGTATTTGAATAACACCAAGATTCAGGTCTTCCTGAGAAACAGAATTTCTCACCTTTACCATGTCTAATCTCAGTAGGCAGCCATATAATTTTTGGTTTCTTCCTACTTAGATTCATGATCCTAACTTAGATATGTTAAGTAACTGTGAAATGTATTACACAGTGATTATGAAAAAAGTGGTCTGATTTATCTTCTGCTTTAATTCTAAATCCTTAGAAGATTAAATATCAATCCAAATTACCCAGATCTGAAAAAAACAGCAACAACAAGAACAAGAACAACAAAAAACACCAGTGCTGGCAATTTCACCACTGTATATTTCTGTGAGATATTTCAAGAAAGTAAAATTTTCAGATGAACACATTTAAAGATGAGGAGTGTATAGTAATACAGAAAAGGCAATGGAACACTTGAAAGTCTTGAACATGAAAAAAAAACCTTTGCACCAAATAGCTGCAAAGAATTAAATAGAAAATGTTTAATAGAGATGGATGAAGACATTCTGGAGAGGAATACAGAAACATATTCCAATTCTTTATTTTAAATAAGAAGATACATAATTTTCTAAGGTGCTCATCCATCACTGCATTATATGTACTTGGAATTTAATGTCATCAAATTGAACCTTCAAATCTGTGTGCTTCTACATTCCTCCCTTTGATTTTTTTTCAAATAGTCCCGTGCCATCCTTTGTTCCCCTTTATTTTAGATATGTAGAGATATATTTAAAAATATCCATTTTCATATTTGCTTTCTAGCACTTGAAATAGAAGAAACAGTAACACAGCTACAGAAAATCTTTGAACCTTTGCCACCTGTAATTTCCAGTGATATCTAAAACCCTGCTTACTCTGTAAAACACATGGAAATGCTAATTCACAACTTGAAATAGTGATTGAGCACCTGGTGAGAAGGCAGGGCCAACCCAGGGGCACTCAGGTACATGAAAGGGATGGAGCCGGGATCCACCCTTTCCCAAACCTTATTTAAGAGTTGGCAGTGGAGGTAAGGGTATCTTTTTGGGTAATCCCTGCATGCCTATAGCCTTCTGAATGTAAACAGCTCCTTTCTGTGATTTCTCTGCCTACCACTGTTATGTTTGAGCAAATCCTCACTCAGTGTAGCTTGCTGCTCTGATTTCATTGCTGCACTTTCCTTTGTGTTACAGCATTGTTAAATGACAAGGAAAAATTATAAAAGAAAAATAAATCTTCTTTAACTTCTCAATAAACTTTTTTTTTCACTCACATAAGTTAATCCATTAGATCTCAGTGAGCCTATAAAACGTAGTTTGCTCTGTACAGGTCCAAAAATAAGAATGTGATGTAACTTATAACAGTGATTTATGAAATCCAAAGATTTTGCTGCCCTGTTTCCTTCTCAGAACAAGACAATGCTTAAAACATAGAGAAAGTAAATATAGTCCACATTTTCACATTGTATTTTCTTCTTCATAAACTGATACCTTATTTTTTTCTCTTTAGGAATGAATGCCAAGGAAAAGAGTAAATATATACAGCTTGTCACTCTCATTCTATGTCACGTACAATTCTGATTGTTGCAGGAGTTGTAACTGATCTGGTCTCTCACAATAATCTAGATGAACTGTTTTGAAAATGACTGTTAGTTTTTCACCTTATATTACAAGTCATAGGAGGAGTCTTAAGTGGAAGAACAACGTGCAGATCAGTACGGAGAAATAATAATAAATGATTTAAAAATTTAAAAGCAAAAAGCACTTCATTCTCTGAAGAGAGGTTAGATGACATTATAGCAAAGTACCATAGAAGAGCAAAAAATAAAATCATACAGTTAGGAAATTCCGGCTTTCTAATAACTACAGAAGAATTAATCATCATACCATTTTTTATATACTTACTAAAGAAATCCTATACGTACCTTAGTTAGTTTTCCCAAAGGTAACCCTATCTTGCTGGATGAAAGTGTTTATTTTTAGCCCTATGTGCTCACATGGATGATTGAAAATTTGAAGGTGTAATTCTGAGTATTTTAGACAGTATAATTAGGGGCTTATCTAGAAGAGCAAAATAGATTCTCATTTCTAGAGTGAATTCTGTTTATCAGAAATTAAAAAGAAATTTAAGGTCAACCCTGTTCTTCTAGGGTAAGTTCTCACATATCAAAGTATTCACAGCTTCCAGTAAAGGGGTCATTGGAGAAAACAAGAATCCTCTCACTACAGAAAGCTCCCATGAAACTCTGCAACAAAAATCATTCTATTTCCTATACTGATTCACTTTGGCCATGAACACTTTTCCAGTACTTTATACATAATAGTTCAGAAAGGGTAAGGAAATCACTGTTCTGTTCATTCAGAAGGGCAATGAAACTTACATATTAGTTTTCCGAGATAAACCTTTACTGCCAAAAATATACATTTACTATACCTTCAGTGGGACTTTTAATTATATTGCAATACTTTTAACTATCTCCCCTAAGTATTTAATGATTTTTCCCATTTACTGCTGGAGGAAAAAAAAATCACAACTACTGAGTCTTTTTTTAAGATTTTCATATTTATTCCATGGATAATATATTTAAATAATAAACAAGTGTTTTTTATTAAAAATAATTTCTTATATTACTGAAGTTGTATAGTTTTATTGCCTTCAAGGAAATTTTCTGTTTAAATTCCAACATAATTAACTTTACCCACAAATCCAATATTCTTAGACTTGGCACTAGTCTTAGCTAAGACTAGCTAACACATTGTTACAAAATGGTTTGAGATTGAAAGCTCCATTCATTTTCCATTCCTTATGTGCTAACTTTTCCACCTTTGCAAGAGATAGGTTGTTATCTTGTTTGCTTGACTTTAAAGCATCGACTCTGACAAGATGATAAAGTCTCCAGTTCCATAGTACATGTTATTTCTGATGAAGTTTTATCTGAAAGGAAGATAAATATGACTATTTATTTTAAATCCCTATGGTAGTGGACAAGCTCTTGAAGATAATTTTTCTAGAGTTGAGAAAAGACTTTGATTTTTCCAGTGTAAATTTGATAAATGAATTGCACTGAGTAGTGAGATACAGTTGTATGGCTATTAGAAGTAGACTTATAGCAAAGGCTAGAATAAGGTAGTTTGAATTTAGACTCCAATCAGGACAATCAGGCAACAAACATTAGAAAGTCAGGATTGGTATTTTTGTTTTTCATATAACAATAGTTAAGATTAAACTTACATGATTCGAATCTGTCTACTTCTGGAGAGTAGTAAAAAATCTATAGCAGAAGTTACACCAACATTTTCCAAGAGTTTTCAGTACTGTGCATTTGATGTAATTCACGTAATTATTTTTGCTAGTTAGTCTACTGTAAAATATTTGAATTTTTATCCCTTCCTACAGCCAGGCAATGTAGGTCTATACATAACTCACAAAGA